TCCACACTGCTAAAAATAAGCAGTGAATGCAACAAATTTTCCCTTGATGCTTAGTAGCTTCAATTTACAGCCTTCCACAAAGTGTGAAAGTATGTGTGAAAAATGTTGTGAACATGCATCATGTTTCAGTGTTTACTTTAACTCACAAACATGCCGGTCAGTTGTCTTAATGGCTACAAAATGTGACAAACCAAGTAGCATTATGGGAAATGTCTGACCATTTGACCTTTTCAAACATTTGAGCCTTTGAGCAGTCATATGTCTGTATGAAGTGATATCAAAGAACGACATGACTTGTGGCCGACTGAATCACAGTGCTCTGCTGAGGACTGATAAGATGGCACACAGTCAAAGTCTAGGGCAGATTACCATATTGAGAGTCTGAGGAAAGAGAGAGGGAAGGAAGAATGTGTTTATGTGTGTATGTGTGTGTTGTTGTGTGTGTGTGTGATGTGTATATGTGCAAATATCTGGATTAGCACCATAACAAATAGGACTCACAATATGAGTAGGCAACAGAATGCCCCCCCCCCCCTTTTGTCAGCCTCCAGCTTCATTTCAAACATTTAAAATTGCACACAGAAAAAGATAAATCCCTCAAAATATGTTTTACACTAGTGATAGGCTTTTTCACTTAGGATGAAATAGCTTATGCAGATAGATATGTGCAACAAAGCTGAAAATGTTTTTTTCTACTGTACACATACAGTACATTATCACAGGAAATACCGAGCGTTTTGATAGAGGCCAAAAGCCTCTAGGGTGAGTACATCTGAAGATGCGGTTGTGTACGATACAGATTTTTCTTTTGCGATCAGGCAGAAATGGAGATAACCCAAAAGTTTAAGGTAGCTGAACTCAACACAACGAGACTGAACTGAATTTAACACAACAATCACTAAACCAGAAAGTATTTAAAGGACTTTTGATTTAGCTTAGGAACTGTAATGAGATTTACTTCTGTTTCTTATATGGATATGGGGTATATACTGTATATTGTTTGGATTAACCTATATAATTGGGTAAAAAAGAGAAAAAATAACTAAAAAAGATTTGATTCGGAAGTGTGAAAGAAAGACTTAGAATTAATTAGGAATTAGACTTATACTTTTATTTTGATTTGAGTGGTTTGATCGTTTTGACAATGCTTTGGTTCCAATAACATTTAGATGCTTTGGTAAATGGTGTTTATTTCTCTCATGTGATATACTGTTGTAGCTAGGGTAATAGGCTAACCGGGTTATCTTGCTAAGTTACTTATATGTTTATTTTCTAAAAAATTACAGGATTGGGATATTCTTATTATTCTGCTGTCTGGTGCCCAACACTTTGAGTAACTATTTCATTCCCCTACGCTACAGAGTGAGCATAGCATCATGGACACACAGGGCAGAAACTGCAAAAGCTCATCAAATCAGAATATATTTATACCTTGTGTTGCCATACTATGAGTCCAATACTAAGATACACTGAGAGACTGAATCCTGTCATACATGAGCCTGTGTGTAAATCAGCCCATCAGTAAAGCTCATACACTCTGCTTGGGTGAACAGCCGCACAGAAAATGAACCAAAAAAAAAAGATCAAAGACCTTCAGGACGCATTAAGTAGCTTATTATTATGGTTCTCAGCACAATGGATTCAAAACTAAACAATGGCTAAAAGGTTTAAGTGGTGACTTTAATCTTTAAGTTGTGGGTTAAACAGAAACATTAGATTAATAGCATACCACTTTTTCATGTATTCCCCAAATTTTAGAGAAAGTAAAGTAAAGTAATCTGAAGTAAGCATTTAATATTTAATCAGAATCAATTCTTTGCAATCAATGACCATATGTAGTCCCGCAGAAATCAGCAGTTTTTTTTTCCCTGGTGATGCTCTGCAAGACTTGTACAGCAGCCAACTACACATCCTGCTTGCTTTGGAGGTTTTTTGCCTTTAGTCTGGTTTTCAGTAAGTGAAACAAATACAAAGGTGGTCAATTACTCTTCTGCCCCCCCCCCCCCAAAAAAAAAACAAAAAATAAAAAACAAAAAACTGATTCGTTGCTTTGGTTATATGTTTAGGATCATTGTACTGATGCACTCCCCTAAAAGTGGGTGACTATATATATACTGTATATAATGGGCTACAGTTTCTGCACAGTTAACCCAATATGGATGTAAATGCCTAAAATACCCCTAAAGCAGACAGTCAGAACATAAGTCTCTGTCATGGTTTCATTTTAACTAGCTGAAGTAATATATTCAGAAAATAATTAGTCATGAGTAAATCATAAATGCTCTAATAAAGAACCATTAGCAACCTGAAACTACAATGCATTCCATATACCATTATCTGAAACTATACTCATCGTTGACAGGCTCTGTACCATCAAAAAAAAAGAAATCTCTCCTGTATGGTGTGGTCTAAACTTGGCTCTGCATGACTGCGGATCTAGCCCTCTCATAAGGAGGAGCAGGTGGGCTGGATGAGGTTGTAGCTTTTTTTTAATAAATCCAGTAATGAGGATGTGCTCCGACAGATGGGCAGACTCACTGTGACTAGAAACAGAAGTGCCACTGCCCACAGCCAGAGCCCTGACTCCATATTAGACCTAGTTTGCAAATGCATCATATGTGCTTTTTCGCAATGTGCAATGGTTGGTTTGATGAGCAGTCTGTCTGTCTGTGCATTGCTCAGTTGGTCCAGAGTGACATCTTGAGAATTATTGGATGGATTAGCACAGATTTAGGTGCAAAGACTTATGGATGAAGTATTGTGCCCTTTATGTTGTAAGTAAGGGCGATTGAGGTTTGGGTGGTGGATGGTCATGTGTAATGAGCTTCATGCAGGGCACCATACATAAACCACAATTGAATTTTAACTGGAGTTTTGTTAAATAAAGTATCAATCTCAGTATCGGTATTGGTATCACAAATAGCTTTTAGGATAGAAAAGTTTGTCTGGCGGGCATTGTGGGATGAGATTGCCCAGACACACATCCTCAAACATGTATCCCCAGCAGGGCTTTAAACTTTTAGAATTATTTCAAGCAGTAATAATAATAAGATATAGATTAAGACCAACAATTGCAAAGTGGTGACATTTAATGCTCTTTAACCTTTGTGAGACACTCTCAGGAAGTTTTTGGTGATTGGCTGTTTGGTGAGAGTGGTAACTGTAAATCTGGAATTGGATACATATATTGGGTATAGTTAATATTAGGTCAACATGGCAGCCAGAAAAGTGGGGTCCAAAAGTCCAAGACCACAATAAAAATCTCTAATATTTTCATTAAAACCTAGAAATAATCAGAAACTTTGGGGATTCATGAAACATTTAAAGGCACACGAAGTTGTGTCATGAAAAATGGAGAAGACATATTTAAAATTCTGCTCTATTTCTAGGTCAAGCTTCAAATTAAAGATAGTTAAGGGTATTGACCAATTTAACTCCTTCTTACAAAAGGTCATATTTCTCCGAGTTGAAGCTAATCCTTTCCACTGAAGCATGCATTGAATTGACTGAATTGACTCCACCCTGGCCAAGGATTAGTATCACTCCATTCCTCAGAGACCCGGTTTGAATCTTTGTGGCGAAGGATTCGTACTGCAGCAGGATAATGACCCCACACACCTCAGAGCTCTGCACGAACTACCGGAAGACCTAAGAAGACCAAGGAGTCCTGACTGTCATAGACTTTCCTCCATAGTCACCTGACCTCAACCTCAATGAAAATTTATGGGGGCACCTGAAGACTGAGAGAGCCACGCAATCTGTGACATCACAAGAAGCTCTTTGGCATGTTGTCAGATCATGCTAACATGGATCCTCAGGTTTTGCACAAACCTCCATGTCCACGCCAACTCCAGTGCATACTGTCATTAAAGCAAAAGGTCAGGACATATCAAATACTAAGATAGTGTCAGATGAATAAACTTTTTACCCACATTGTTAAGCTGATATTATCACGTGTAATGAAAAAAAAGTGTTACGTTCAAAGCAAATGCAAAACAAAAGTATCTTGACCAGTGGTCTCAGACTTTCTGACTCCAGTGCATGTATGTAATGAATCATATGCTGTTAAAAAGATGGAGCTCTATGTCACAACACGCTGGACAAAGTGGTAATTGAGCATCCTGGGCTGATGTTTTCCCATGCATGGTTTGTTTGTCCGCTCTATGACTCTGCCTTCTGACCTGTCCTCTCCTCCAGGCTCCCTGGCGGTTTGTGCAGGCCTGTCCTTCTACTTAAACTATGCACACTAGGCCTGGGGCTGGCAGCTGCAGTGTCATTGGAGACTTCACAGCTTTGGCTGAAGGCATAGTTTTTCACTCAAGTGGTCAGTGCTGGCTTGTTGGTGCCTGGTGGCGGTTCAGATGATCTGATAGAAGTTACTTTGTCTTATCTTTGTGGTAGAGGGGAGAGGTCGTCTCAGTGTTGAGGGTTTCTCTTTTGTCCTTTTACTCCTCTTTTTTTTAATCTATACTTTACTTTCACATGTAGGCATTGTAAGACTGTAAAACACGCATACATATAGAGAACATTTAACATCTTTTTATGAAAACAAGTCAGATTAAGATATGAAAAGTGGCAGCACTTTCAATTAGTGTGTCACATAGAATTCGTATCCAGATTTTAGGAGACGCTCTCTTGTGGAGACTGTGAACGCAACAGTAAATAGTGACGTGTGGGTGGAGCTGTAGGTTCAGACCTGCTGTACCAGCTCTGACTGTGATCAGGGAGTTGTTACAAAGGATGCCACCAGTGGAAAACCATCGCATGGAAGAAATGCGCTGAAATGGACCTAAACATATTTGATTTTTTTCTTTATTATTGCATCTAACATTGCTCTTACTTCCTCTAGATTCTAATCCGCAATTGATTTTTGAGTGAGCTGAATACTTCTGTTTTTGAAGATATCACTTTCCTAATCATGCATGCATATGCCTGAAGATATATGGACTTCTTTTTTTTTTTTTTTTTTTTTACATCCTTCGCTCGGGCTGTGGCAAAATTTGCCTGCGAGGACAAGCGTTTAATTGTCTTGCTGGAAACAGACACTGAAATGAGACTGAAGACAGTGCCCTGCTTTCTTTAGTAAACTTACCTTAAAGTTCTCTTTATGGCGTTTCAAAATGTCAGACTCTAACTTGAGGAACGAAAGCAACTATGGGATCTATTTTACTGACGCTTTCAATGGATCTGTTTTGGAGCGAACGTTTCCAAACGACAGCATCTCGACATGTAGGAACTTCACACTGGACTCGCAGGTTGTCGGGGTTGGGATCTTTCTCTCCGTTTTTATTTTGGTTGCAATTGTTGGGAACATTCTGGTCATCCTGTCGGTGGTGTGCAATAAACATTTGCAGACTGTCACAAACTTCTTCATTGTTAACTTAGCCATGGCAGACCTGCTGCTGAGCATTATTGTGCTGCCTTTCTCTGCATCTTTAGAGGTTCTGGGATGCTGGGTGTTTGGCCGAGTTTTCTGCAACATCTGGGCAGCGGTGGATGTGCTCTGCTGCACCGCATCCATCCTCAGCCTCTGCATCATCTCCATAGACCGGTACATAGGGGTGAAACACTGCCTCAAATACCCGAGCATAATGACAGAGAGGAAGGCGGTAGCTATTTTAGTTCTAGTGTGGGTCTCGTCCACGGTCATCTCTGTCGGACCGCTCCTGGGATGGAAGGAACCGCCGCCTGTGGACGACAGCATCTGCAAGATCACGGAGGAGCCGGGCTACGCGCTCTTCTCCTCTCTCTTCTCTTTCTACCTCCCGCTCATGGTCATCCTCTTCATGTATTTTAGGGTCTATGTGGTGGCCCGCAGGACTACTAAGAGCCTGGAAGCGGGCGTCAAGCGAGAGAGAAACAAGTCGATGGAAGTGGTCCTGCGGATACACTGTCGCAGCGTGCTGGAGGACGCGCGTCCTGCCAGCAGTTCAAAGAGCAACAAAAACCACCCGTTCAGAAGTTCGCTCTCGGTGCGGCTGATGAAGTTCTCCAGGGAGAAAAAGGCGGCTAAAACCCTCGCCATCGTTGTGGGGATGTTTATCCTCTGCTGGCTGCCCTTTTTCTTCTTTCTGCCAATGGGTATGTATTATAACTTTACATTTCTCTCCCTATAGCTTTCAGTGAGTCTGTCTCGGTGTACCGAGGGATATCACAGCTTCATATAAGCCTGTATCCTCACAGTCAAATTTGCTTTTCTCAAGAACCCTTAAACAAACGAATTCTTAAAAATTCTGTCACCTTAAATGCCTTCACTGGTTGCCTACTTGAGTTTATAATTCACTCCTTGACTGATAGCACCTAAAATGGTAGATGTACGTCATTTGCAACAAAATTAGATATTTTCTAACTGATTTATGTTTAATGTGAATAATTAATAACTGTGCGTCATTTGGGGTGATTAAACTTTTTCAGGCAGCTCCTCCAGAGAACTGCCTACGTATCTATAAAAATAACTCTATTGGCTGCAGGAGCAGGCCAGTATTACACCAAAGACACTACAGTTAAAGAAAACATACATCATCAACTATAAAAACATGCACAGTAAGATTTGGGCATAAGAGGAAACATGAAAAAAAGGGATATGCAGGATTTCATTTGCTGTTTCTTTCGGAACTGTGCCAGGAATGGATCCAAATTAAGATTGTTATAATATTATAAAAACAAATCCTTTGGTCAGGAAGGGGCAAATCTGCAATCTGACCATTACTGTGGCTTGTTTCATGTCTGTAATTTTTTTGAGAGCTCTGAGGGCTGGCTGATATAGACATTTTTTAAAGAGCAGTCATAGTACACTGACATTCTTCAGTAATGAGCACTCAAACTAAATGCTCCCAGTACCTTGCAAAGCATCACAGCTGCTCATTCCAAGTGTCAGCTCCTGTGGAATATCTGTTTTAGTCTCACACACTGATATAAAATAATGATATTGTATTTGCTTGTTAAGGGTTTTGTTGCCTGGTCCACATTTGTAGCAGGGGAAGGCCACAGCACAATCATTACATCAAATGCCACCAGGAAGTCCAGGAAACACAAAACGATTTGCTCTAGGTGTTAATGTTGAGCATATGTCTAAAACTGACCACGGTATTGAACATTGAAAGGATCAGCAAGATAAAACATGAATAACGAATTATTTTCTAATCTGTGCAGATGTTTGAAAACCCCCTTTAGTGGGGATGACCAAAGCAAGTCACTATGGCTACACATAAATCAAACTGAAAAATGCTACATGCATATGGAGCTGCACTTACACACACACGCACTAATGGTGGCCTCATGAATTTTCATTTTGCATTTATTTGAAGTAATTGATTGTAAAAAATCTATTATGAACAAATGGCTAGTATCTTATCAGGTATAGCACTCACAGCACTCTCACTCTTGCTGCCCCTCTAAATTTACACAATCAAATTATTAGAGAAAAGCCTGAGGGGGAGAAAGGGTGCAAGGAATGAAATGGATGCTGCTAATCACTTTACTCACTCAATGGGAGTGAAAAGGGCAAGTTTATTTGTATCCAGAAATCAAAGACAGTTGGAGACTTCATCTCTTCTTCTGTCTGGAAATGAGTGAAGACATGAGTGAGTTTTTGCATTCATTGTCCAAACATTTATTCACATGTTCTTGTATTTACACATTATGACTATTCTGAACCATAAGTTTGGAGTTGATTGTAAAAAACAATGTCTAATCAAATCATTTTCATCTATATAATCATATTGATCATATTGACTTGACTCTGTGATCACATTATACAACCTGCTCCTGGGAAACCTCAACCAAGATGTCAAGGCTGAGTCCATTACTCTCAGTGTGGCACGACACTGAAATATCATTATTCAAGAGAAAACAAAGGGGAGCTCAGCCAAAAGGAATCATTATGTTCTATCATAAATTGTTGTTTTAAATTTATGATTCCCAGTAGATGCTAGAGGATCTAACTTGCATGATAGAGGAAGTCAGGCCGTCATTATCATCTTTGTCATCTGTGATTGTTAAAGCCCAATAAAACTTTTACAGGAGTTTCAGCTCCTTGATAGAAATCATCTGCCCTGTTAAATCCCTTCAGACATGCTGTTCTCCAGTTTCACCCTGAACATTTCAAGCCCCCGGTGGAAGTAGTTTAAAACATTAGGTCCCCGCAGGGATCAATAAAGTATTACAATGTTGTTTTTATGGATTCACCCCTATGGGCTGGGTTGCAGTTTGTTTACTAAATGACGGACTGACAAGTGTAGCGCAGCCACAACCCACAAGTACAAGCCCTGCTTTTCCACACTTGGTCAGTCAGGCGGATTGATGTTGGTCCTTTGTAGAAAGACATCATTAATGAGTAAGCTTTTGCTGAAAGGCAGACATGTATTTTTACCACCTCTTATGCCACTCAGACCCCTTTTTCTGTGATGATGCAAATCTAGACAGAGTAGCCTGACTCATCTGAAACTCTAGTTAGAGTGCCCTAACACCATTTGCTTATATTAGTGCACTAGACTCATGAGTACTATTTTTTCTATTGCCAGAGAAGTGATGGAATAAAGAGAAATAGCCTTTGAGAGCTACTTTGAATGCTGTCTCTCTCCTAGTATAATGGATAAAATATCAAGCACAACCTATTGCACAGGGAATGTAGAATTAGCATTTTAGTATTAATTACCAGACAATGTTATAATTGGCGGGTTTTTTTTCCAAGCTCTACTGTCCATGCTCACATAAATCCAAATCTTTGCGACATGAAGGCACAAAGTCCTACATGTGTCAAGTTTCAAACTTTTATTTTCTGCAGTTGTTCTTCTTTGTGTTTTGAATGTATATTTTCAATTCTGAAATTAGGGATATAGAAACAATACACTGGAAATGATATAGTTTTGCAGCAAATATATATTGTACAACATTTTTGTAAGAAAACACTGTCTAACATGTATGTATTGAGATTAATAGCATAAGGAAACCCAGTGTGTCATTTCATTTATTTCTAAACACTATGCTTTGGTAGATTGATACTTTTGCCTGGAATGTTATATATGTGGTCCTCAACTCTACAATTTACATTTGTTAGAGTGTTATGCTTGTTTAACAAGAGCTCAAGGTTTTCTCAATTTAAGGTTTAAGTCTTGTGATATTATATATTTTATTATTGTCAAAAAATCCAATGAAAAGACCAAAACCAACAATTAATTGATACTACTAGCACACATTGGCTGTGCAGCCAAAGCCTGATATATCTTATTCCTATATGACTTCCATTGTTGTCAAAAGAAAAAAAAAAAGGTAAATTCACACCAATAAGCCACATAGTTGCACTGGATAACATCTTCCTTCATTTGTATGAGCTTGGGCAACATAGTTTATTTTGAGTTGATCCCACATACACTGTCCTGCTGCTGTACAGGACTCACATCTGCAATTGTGAATAGTCCCAATAAATATTTTACAAGAAAAGTTTACTAAAAACTACAGTCCCATTTGTTTTAAATATATATACTGTATATATATAATTTTTCTCATTCATGGCCCATTTTGAAATAACTACATCTTCTGTAGGAACCGATGGATTTGGGGCTGAGAGCCATAGAGTGAATGGGGGAAGTTGGAAAGTATTGAGAGAGAGACCAGTTCATTGTTGATTTTGGTCTTTTCATGGATGGATTTGATAATAAAATCATAATATACCACCAGCCTTACACAAAAAAATAGTCCAATAAATCCTGTAATATATAGAATTTCTGGTAATATAAGTAACCCTATGGCTATTATAATCATTACAATATGTCATGATGATTAAGGCAAAGACCTTCTATAAATGCATACCATAATGCAAGTATTCACTGAACCACCATCCTTGGTGGTCACATGTTGAGGTTGAGTTTTTTTAAAAAGCTGTGTCAAATATTGACCTTCACAGAACATTAAATGTCAAGGAGATAATGCCATAAGCTCTTTAACTGAGGACCAATCAGGATTCTGCCTGCTCACACAAAAGAGCCATCACATCCCCAGACTCCTCCACAGGATTCAGGGTGTATCCAAAGCAATCATTTGTTGCTTGACTTTATGATTTGTACTGGGGTATGAGCCTATGTGAACTTAAAAAAAAATTGCATCCTCAGAGGGGATTTAAGATGGCAATCATCATGCACACATCAGACTTAAAAGATACTGTTATCTCAAAGGCAATAAAACAAAAAAGAGGAAGAAGAAAAAAAAATCACCTGTTGTCACGGTGTTGTGGTTGTGCGTCAGAATGATGAATCACTAGCTGTCTGCCTTTAAGGTGATGTGACTTCAGTGAGAAGAATCAATGGAGAACATAATTTCCCCTAATCACTTTTTTCATCTTAATCTTTAAAGATTCAGAATCAGAACTGGTTTAAAGACAAGTCTTTTAACAGAAATGAAAGCAAAGTCAGAGCCAGGTAGGAGCTGCTAAGCATAAAATACTGTACATGCTACAGAAAACATTACAAGTAAGCTAGAAAAATCTGTTTTATTATGCAGTTTATGTCCTCGAGTAAATGGCACAAGTCTCCTGTTTTGCATTTGTTAGTGCACAGAATGTCGTTTGATAGCTGATGTCAAAACGGCATGAAACCATTACTTTGAAAATCACATACAAGCCATTTCAGATATTAACACTTTGTACTAACAGAACTGAAATGAAATTGGACTTTTGGGCCCAAGCAGTGCAGACTTGACATTAGCACTGTGATATGTTGCCTCTGTGTCCAGGGTCAACACTGTGTTAAATCCAAGCCTGGGGAGACAAGAACAACTAGAAAGCAATAGGAAAAAGTAACATTCCATGAATAACAGCATGTCATATCAAAATTGCCAGTGCAAGTATAAAGACCATGAGCACGGTAATGAGAGCCTGGGTTGTTGGTGTACTGTACAGGAAGCAATTTTCAAAAAAAAAAAAAGAAAACTGACAGTTTATGTTGAATCACCATTCTTTACATGCCAAAAAAGAAACCACCCTACAAAAGCTGATAAAGCTGATAAATGTAATATTTCAAGGTTGTCTATGGCAGGATTTTCCATCATACAAAGATGGAAAGACAGGGTTGGTATAAACCTCTGCACAAGCAAAGGCAATGTATTACATGTAGAATTTTCAGAGCGTCATGAATCAAACATCAGGTATCTCATTCAAGCATGGCAAACACCTTACAAGACACATTCTACTTTATCCTCTTTGAGAAAGCACATACCACAGGAAAACTCACCACCACAAGAAAATTTTAATCTCCTTTCTGTTGTTAGCAGCCTGCTTAATGTGTCAATGTAGGGCCAATGTTGCATCAACTAAAACCAAGAAATTGAACTATTCGGCACAAATAAAGAAAATGTCTCATCATCACATATTCTATTCCAGCAAAGGCATCATAGAAAGAGCTATGTGCACTCAGGCTTGTGGTTAATACTTCCTCTGTAAATATCCATTCCATTCATAAAAGTCCACAAATTTGTCAGAACCTCCTCTGTTCCTATTAATAAACACAAACAAACAGCTACTGCTGCACAATAGATCATTACATAAATAATGCTGTGAATATCTGACTGTCAAAGGGATGAAAAATATGTATGTAGTATAATAGCTTAATACAACTGTGCCCACAGTAGTGCATTGTTTGTAGTGTATGTATCCTTAATAATGCTTTCCTATGTAGTTCCTAAAAGAGATAAACCATTTTAACTATTTTTACTTGTTATATATTTTTAACCTGTTCAGTCTGACAAAATGGTCGCCATTTTATTTCCAAAAATCATAAACTGTATTTAGCGTTACATTCCCTGTACCTACATTTTGCTTCAACTTTTCTGAACTTTGAAGACATTTATTGCAAAAATTATTTTGATTCTTAATGGAACATTGACAGCAGTATCCTGTATTGTTTATATACTATACATTTTGGCTACTCACAAATCTTACCTTCTTCTCCATAGGTTCCTTCTTCCCGGCACTGAAGCCATCTGACACTGTGTTCAAGGTAGTCTTTTGGCTGGGCTACTTCAACAGCTGCATCAACCCCATGATCTACCCGTGCTCCAGCAAAGAGTTCCAGAGGGCTTTCACTCGGCTCCTCAGGTGCCAGTGTCACCAAAGACAGAGGGTCCTTCGCCGCTTCTATGACCAGAGGTGGCGGACAGCTGTCAAAGGAAAGACAAGGGATCAGAGAGCAGACTATAAGCCTGGCTACACTGTACATGAATCCTGTGGCAGCTCATTGTTACACAAGGGGAAAGGGCACTCGCTAGGTTTCAAAGGATGGAGTCTGTTTCCACCCCTGCAAAAGTCTTCTGTCCAGCTCAAAAAGAAAGTGAACAATCTGTCAAATAAAATTAAAGGAGGGACAGGAAAAGGTACCACACCTGCAGTGGGACGGATTGATATAGTAGACACAGTCTCCATGGGGATTTACAACTCCTGTGAGCAGAACAGTTATCAGTTCTATGATCTGGCAGACTGCTATGGCCTGAAAGAGACTGACATTTAGAGGGTCATCACAGAATCTTTTATTTATTTTCAAAGGGCCATATTGGACCAACATGCAAGAAAGACTAAGATAGGGCATAATTTTGTGTTCACAGATTATCTGAGAATCAAAGCTTGACTGAAGCTATGGACTGAGAATGATGGCTTGACCCCAGCACAAACAAGACTAAAATTTTATCTCAATCCCTCATGACCATCATGTTTATTTAGATGAAAATTCTCATGAACTGCTTAAAGGACCCAAAGTAGCTAACTCCTTGGACTTTATTTTCATTGACATTACACAGCTCACAGCTGACAGGTGTATGCACTTTTGGTAAGACTTTAACATAAACCAGTGTCATTATTACTGTCTCCATGTCTTTAAGTATTAGCCAGCTGATACTGTGTGATGACTCCCATTGAATGGTGACTGCTTTGTTTGATGTTCAGCTGATTTGAAACAAAAAAAAGAATAAAAAAAAAAAAACACTATTACAAAATGTAACTTTTAAGCTCTAACAGAGCAAAGTTAGAGTCATAAGTGCAATTTTTAATGTTGAATGAATTACGGTATTTCATGTGCCATTTTTCTGTTTTGACAAAGCATTGTAAAGATAAGAGGCCAGCTGAAAACAGAGATGCTGCACAGTATTTATTTTAAAAGTTGGATTTATAAGTTCACTTGGCATTGATATGCACACTTGTTTGCATAAACAACCATTATCTCAGTGCCATGGGATAACTTTATGAATTGGCGCTATATAATTAAAATTGAATTGACTTGTGTCGACATGAGTTTACTTGGCCCACCTAACTGTAATTTGCTCTGCCAAGTGAGTGCTAATGTGAAATAAATATGCTTTTTTTGTATTTTCTGATTTTATGTTAATGTCAAATGAAATGTAAAATAAAAAGGAGGGGAACAAGATGAGACTAACTCTGGTTTTCAGTTAAATTACAGTGAAGTATTATAATTTATTTCATGAATAAAAAAAAAAAAAAACATCTGCCCCAACCAGCAGATGTCACTATTGTTTTGGTTGTTTTATCTACCACACTTTTTTCAGGCCAAGTTTAACTTAGCCTGTTGGAAAGCAAAATGGTTTGTTTTTAAATAAAATACCAACAGAGGAAAAAATCAATATCTTAACCTGTCAAGGTGAACAGAGTGAGAATCTGTTGATTGAGAATCAAATACAAATAAAGAATTTAGGAATTTAAAGTGAGAGTAACACAGAGACACACACACTCACATAACACTAGGCATTGTAGAGAAACAGAGAAAAAGAGACTCTATGAAGACTAAGAAATCTCAATGACTTCCTGCTATTAGCTTCATTCCACCAAAATCAACCAACAGAACTTTACCTTTTGCATTTGTAATAATTTAACTAATAAATGACAGAAAAAAAATCTCAATGAAGAGAAGGAATTGGATGAAAACAAACAGAAGACAGTGCTCATCTTGGACTAAAACATCAAAGCACAAATTGTTGCCAGTGTATGGGATAGTCTCAAAATCCAGACATGAACAGCAGAAATATATTTTAAAAAAATATATACAAAACTATAGCTGTCACTGTTCAGATGATGTTTGTTGTGGTCTTTTTCAAAAGGTCAAATGTCCTTTGAACCATTTATTCTCCATTTCCAATTATTTTCACTCTTCCCTCTGTCCCACAAAAAACTGACTTGAAACAACAACATAACTTCATCAAAGCTATTTCCTAACTCAAGTAACACAAGTCACTGCATGGTGTGTACTGCTAGTGTACTAGCGCTGGTGATAGTGGTGCTGCTGGTTTAACAGAGACCCTTTTTTACTATGCTCTAGAGCATAGAGCAAGAAAAAGACTCCAGATAAACATCTAAGTGCATCTTTGGCACAAGGCTGTATTGTTCTTGACTATCTTGAATAAGGCTAATTTGCTATGCACTGGGCATCTAAGTGCCTTGCAGGATTAGGTTACAAGTTACAAGAAGAGTGAGGCAATTGCAACAAATAATATAGCTATAGTTTCAAGTTACCAGGGTTTCCAGAAACACTTTCCAGTCTCATAGCTCACTTTACAGCAACGTTAAACCACAAACTGAGTCGTTTTCTTCTTGTGGTCATTTGTCAGCAGATGTGATTGTTTGTTACCATGGCAACACAGCCCTTTGCTCTGTGTGAGATAACCTGTTAGGTTGACTGTTGGTATAAGTCTAGCACAACTCACCACACTGCTGATTCACAAAATAAATGAGAAATAACTACAATAGCTCTGTGAGTTAAGTAGACAGAGAAAAAAGAAGAGAGAAAGAGAGAGAGAGAGAAAGAGAGAGAGAGAGAGAGAGAGAGAGAGAGAGAGAGAGCAGAAGAAGAGAGAGAGAGAGAGAGATCTTACCTCTATTAAGACTAATAAACCTCATCCATGGAATATCACCATGGAAATGGATTAAACATTTAGACAAAACCTGACTGGATACTAACACAATGTTGCTGCACAAGTGGCTGTTTAAATGAGCAAGATCACAAAAGAAGCAGATTAACAGCTCTGTTTAAAACTGGAAAAAGAAAAAATGTACATATATTTTATTTTACATTTTATATTTCCTCATCAGTTGTGCTTTACTTAATATTTCATTGGCTACAATGTGCCACAAAACCTGTGCACAGTGTAAATGTTATATCTGTTTAAAAAGACAAATTTTAAATTACAAACTCAACACAGGCTTAAATTTTAAAAAATTGTGATTGTTTAACATTTAGTTTGAAAAACTACGACACAGAAATTAAACAGAGTATTAAACATTTTTTGTCTATGTCATGCATGTTGCCCCTCTAACTCAATCTGTGTATTAACATTTTAAGCTGTAAAGAAACTATAAACTTTTACTGGGGTAATTAATATTTTAATTATGAAATGTTTATGGGTAAGACTGCTCCTTAAAAAGGCATTGAGCCTCTTTTTAAAAACTTGTTATCATGAAATAAAAATAAAATAATAATAATGTCAATATGCAAAAAGTGAGAGAACACCTTCACGTGCACAATTATCCACCATCTGCCTAACTTTACTATTCTCCTACATTCAGTGTGTCCTGTCTAAGACTGCAATGTTTTCATGAGCACATTCAAAACACAACTTCATTTCATATTTCCATTTATACCAAAAGACTTCATCAAGCATGTTTAGAAAGTAACACTGCCGCATGATTAGACACTGATCAATCACAATAATGGAAGAATGTTTGGCGGATTGTGAAACATGATACTTTTGGGTCCCACTTATCTGAAGTATTGATAGCTCTGACAGATACATTGTCATCTTGCTACAAAGTAATTATTATTGGCCCTCTGTCTATCTCTCATTTTCAATGGCGCAAAATTTAATTCAAAAGATAAAAATGTTGAATAAAATATCTATGCTGGGAGTGTGATTCATTGTCACACCACAAACAATTAGATGACATGAAATATAAAAGAAGATTAAAACATAAATAAAATTTGAGTAAAATATGCTTGTTTTTAATGTTGTGAACATGTTATTTCAGGGGTCCAGAATGTTTTGGATACATCAATTCAATGTTTGTATAACTTTATTTATTTAAAATATCAAAATACAATAGTGAATAGTTACAGTGAATAGTTATATTCATAGTTAATATAGTCATTTTTTTTTAGTCCTGAGAGGTTTATGCTTAAGGTTTAAGATTATGCACTACATTATACTTAGTATTCAGCTTATTTTCATCACAAAAAGCAGATTTGGATGGGTGCCACTTAAATAATTCGACTTCCAACCAACCCTGGCAGGAGCACACTGAAGGAGGCCACGTATTTATATGTCGATTTCAATGTATTCATTTGTTTTTTTAGAGTTTTCAAACAACAAAAGGCTAAAGCAACACAACAACTCACACAAGTCAGAAAACTGCTGTAGCACTGCGAACTATGGGGTAGGTTTCCAATCATGCAACATTACTGTATCAGCAGCTGGCTAACAGCTGTCAAAATACCAAATTTTACTTCAATTACTGGGGTTTTGCCAGAAGGACAAGTTGCTTGAGACATCTTTGAAGATACAGTTTACACTGGTACTGTGCAGAGTGCTAATTATAATAAGGGGATCAACTTTTTCTCCAGGGTGAAAGGGAACCCAGTACAGTGCAGGCACATGCTTCAGTGAGCTGAGATGTAACAGTGAATACAGTATCTTGCTTGTTTAACTAAAGCTGTCAAATAAATGTAGTGGAGTAGCATGTACAATGTAGGAGTGGAAGTATAAAGTAGCAAAAAAATGGAAATACTCAAGTTAAGTGCAAGTACCTCAAAATTGTACTTAAGCCTATTATTTAGAGTAAAATGCTAATACAATTACTTAGCCTTTAGTACACATATTGTTCAATTATCCAACCAAGTAAAACTACTGAATTCCTGATTGAAAACAACGAGGGTGCCTCTTAAAGGGCATAATACCGAAAATGTAAAAGACTAAACCACCACAGCCACGAAACTATTAAAATGAAATAATTAACACTATATTGATGTCAAAATTTATCTCTACAGCATCTAATCCATTGTATCACTGCTCGTGACTGAGCACCATTTTTTCGCTACCTAAACATTTCATATTGGTAATGAAATGAAAGGGTGTGCTATCAGCTAGCTAACATTGGTTAACTCTAACTTAAAGCAAAAGATAGAAACTAGCTAAAATTAGCCTTCATCCAGATACTTGACACAATCTGATTCAGAAACTCAAAAGGTAAGAAAGTAAAATGTATTAAACAATCTGGATAGTTAGCGACTACTACTTATATTTACCTGCACAATAGAGACGCTAGCCACTGATGGGAGTGACGAAGGCAGATGTGATGCTCAGCTAACATCAAGGTAGAGAAATGGTATAGTCCACTTTAGGGGTGTCTGAAATTGTAGTACAGGATTATTCGAGACATGAATATGGGAAATACATGTAATACAGGTAAGAAGGATATATAAATGTTTCAACCCCTCTGAACTGTTGTTAATACATCTTTTTTTCGTCTTAATCTTAATCTAAATCTTAATCAGGGGTGTCAGACTTTAGCAACCCCCCCCCCCCCATAATTCGAACCTTGGTACAGTGTTGTATTTAATAGGTGTTGATTTACCCTTGTGTAAAATAAGGGATTTGTATTAAACTTTCATGTTCATTCACAGAATTCAAATTTTGCTCCTGCTCAGTCTAAGGGAGAGATTGTGTAATTAACTAGCAAACCAGACAGTAAAATTACACAGATTGCTAGTCTAAACACAATGAGAGGCACAGTCAAATGTGTGCCTTTCATTTCATTTGACATCACACATTACACACTTTAAAACTGTGTGTGCCATCATCCTTATCTGTAGGATATGCCAGGATGACTTTGCCTTTCCCAGTGCAATCACCTGGATACCTTGTTCTCTTAGTTAGGCTTGAGCTCTACAGTTTTTGGTCCTTCTGAAAGAGTTCACACATCATGTGATATTTTTTTCAGTAATGGCAGTGAGAACATCTATCATTGTTAAAAGCAAACCAACAACCCAAATGTAAACAGCAGCATTGCCCCACCACCATAATAAAAAACAGAATTAGAATAAACTATTACTCCCAAACTGAGAGAGCTGAATATACAGACTGACAACAACAAAATCAAAGTTAGTAATTCTATCTGACAATGTTGGTGACCTCACAAGGTTTGTTGACGTCAGTAATGTTTGTAAACAGGAATAAAACAGGCCTGTGTTTTAATCATGATTTTGTATTATGTATTTTTTCATAGGTTAACTCTCAATATACATGTGATATGGTTGAATAGAGATTGGTGTTCAACCACTATGATACAGTAGATGTGGATACTAAAACTGTAAATTTACTTCACATAATAATAAATCAACTTTAGCTTGG